GCCATAGAAAAACTCTTGCTCTCCAGGCTCACATTCAGCTGCCTTTCTTATATCTGCCAGGGCCACCTTCCCAGGGGTGGCACCACCCACAGCAGCTAGACCCTCCCACGTCAATCATCTTAATCAGGAAAATGCCCCACAGACTTTCCTACAGCCCAGTCTTCTGGAAGTATTTCTCAGTTGAGGGGTTTCCTCTTTCCAGATACCCAGTTTGTGTCAAGTTGATAAAAAAAAACAAAACAAAACAAAACAAAAAAAAAACCCTAGCCAAATCGTTCCTTCCCTCCCTCCCTTCTTGTCCTCTCTTCCTTCGTCCTTTCAAGACAAGTCCTGCTGCAGAAGTCAGGCTGGCCCTGACTTTGCAGAAATCTTCCTGCCTCACCTTCTTTCTTTCTTTCTTTCTTTCTTTCTTTCTTTCTTTCTTTCTTTCTTTCTTTCTTTCTTTCTTTCTTTCTTTTCTTTCTTTTTCTTTCTCTTTCTTTTTTGTTGTTGTTGTTGTTTGTTGTTTTTTGAGACAAGAGTTTCTCTGTGTAGACCAGGCTGGCCTGGAACCCACAGATCTGCCTGCCCCTGCCTCCTGAGCATGGGGATTAAAGGTATGTGTGCCAATGCCCGGCTTCCCTCCCTCTTTTAAAGCCCATACTTAAATATATATTAAAACATCTTAGGTAGGAGGATCTCTGTGAGTGACCTTGCTATTTTTGCATTTCTGCATGAACCTTGGTTTTCAAATCATTGGATAAGAGGTCAAGAACCTGGAAACATGAGGCTCAATCACCAACAACAAAAGGCTCTTCTTTGTGGTGATATATTGTGTCTCCCAATATATTGTGGACCCTAATAAAGCTTATCTGAGGATCAGAGGAAAAAGCCAGCCACTATATTAAACATAGAGGTCAGGTAGTGGTAGCATACACCTTTAATCCTAGCATTTGGGAGGCAGAGATCTATCCAGAGCGCTGTGAGTTCAAGGCCACACTGGGGAACAGAGCCAGGCATGGTGACACATGCCTTTAATCCCAGCACTAACCATAGAGGTCTAGAGGTCTGTACACATAGACAGGAAGTGATGTAGCTTGGCAGAGAGAGGAAGTGAGATGCAGAACAGAAAGGCATATAGGTATGGGTATACAGGAAGTAGGTTTCTTTGGCTGAGGATTTCCAAGTGATAAGAATGTGGTTGGCTTCTTTCTGCTTTTCTGATCTCTCAGTTTTTAACCCCAATATCTGGCTCTGGGTTTTTTTTATTAAGACTGTTTAGCAATCCCTGTTACACTTCTTGGACTTCCCAACCTCCAGAACTCTAAGAAATAAATGTTGAGTCACCCAGTCTACAGTATTTGGTTTGGTAGGGGTAGGGTGGCTTCTTTTTGGTTCATTATTTTGAGACAGGGTCTCTGGTAGCTCAGGGTGGCCTAGAACATTGTAGCTGAGGATAACCTTGAACTCCTGATCATCCTGCCTTGGCTTCCCAAGTGATCATAGTCATGTGCAAGCAACCATGCTTTTGTTAGAAGGCAGGTTGCACCTCATTCTGTAGCCCAGGCTGACCTCACACTTAAGATAATCCTCCTGCCTGAGCTTTCCCAGTGTTGGGATTTTAGGCATGAGCTACCATGTCTGGCTCTTATTTTTGTTATAACCCAAAGGGTTTGGGGATGTGGCTAAGTGGTAGAGTGCTTGCCTATCACGAACAAGGTCCTGGATTGGACCTCTGGCAGCACCACACACCCACACCAAAAGAACTAAGACAATTATTATTTTGGAATTACTTTTCAAAGAGAGAAATCACCAGTAATAGCCACAGTCTAAATCTAAAAGCCTTTTCCTCCTGTGGTCTCTGAGCAACCCATCTGCCTCTGCCTCCTGGCATTAAAGGCCTACACCACCAAGCCTGGCTCTTGTTCTGTTTTCTAAACAGCTCCAACTACTGCCCTGCTGGGGTTAAGAACCCTAACCCACGACCTGTTCTTAGTGGAGAGAGCTCTGATTTCAGCTGGGGTGTAAAGGGAGAATAATACACTTGTTCCTTGTGTGCCCTCTGCTGGTCCCTCCTGAGCAGAGCACAGAAAGGGCTTCCTTCTCCAGGCAGGCCCTGGCAGGTTAGCAGCCATGTACTGAAGGGATGTGCGGACCCCCCACTGCAGTCACCTGGGGACCTGGCAACAGGAGTAACGGGAAAACACCTAGGTGGTTTTGAAAGTATTGCCATCATAAAACTCAGTCAAGGCAAACTCAAGAACAGACACCTCTTATTGATTCGTTTGCTGTTTTGAGATAGAGTCTAATTTAGACCAGACTGACCATAAACTCATTAAAAAGCCAAGGAGTCCTGATCCTCCTACCTCTGCCTCCCAAGAACTGGAATTACAAGTATCTGCCAACAGAACTAATTTATGTGGCGCTGACATTGAACCCTGGATTTAGCATTCTACTAAGCTACATCCCCACCCCCTTAAGCTGGCACCTTTAAACTGGCTTGAGGCCCTCTGGGTGCAACCAGGTCACACCCAGGAGAATCAAATTCAAGGTCATTCTCAGCTACCCAGCAAATTTGAGGCTAGCTTGGGCTACAAAATACAAAAAGCCTTGTCTCAAACAAAACAAGATCATAGATTTTTCAGTTTTTGTTTCTTTTATGGGGAGAGAGGTGTGTGCATGCCACTGCACATGGTTATCAGAGGACAACCCAAAGCAGTCAGTTCTCTCCTTACTATACAGGTCCCTCGGTTTAAGCTCAGGCTGTCTGAGTTCACGGTAAGCACCTCTATCCTATGAGCCCTCTTGCCCTCCACGTTTATTATTCACATTTTAGACTCTAGAGGTTAGAGGTTGTTGGTAAAATAGTTCCAAAATATCGAGGCTCCTACCATCTTTCTGACACCCTGCCCACATGGCTGTGTTCTCACGGCCCAGTGTGTCCACTCAGTTCCCCGGAACAGCCATCACAGTGGGAAGGCATGGTGGCCAAAGGGGCCTGCAGCTACCACAGCAGCTTGCTCACATCTTGGTGGGTGGGGCATCAATGAGGAGATGATGCCAGTGCCCCCGTTGTGAGGGGCTGGAGGGTTGGTTGTGCTTTTAAGACAGGTTCTATATACTCCTGGTACTCTGCAGACAAGGCCTCAAATCTGTACCTCCTCTGTGTGACTGTCTCAAAAAAAAACTGAAACAAAAAAAAACCTACGAAACAGGTGAGATTGGGGCCTGATAAGGGGTGTATGCACTTGGGAGGCAGAAGCAAGCTGAGTTCGGAAGGCCAGCTTGGTCTACCTAGTGAGGTCTTGTCTCAAAAAAAAAAAAAAAAAAAAAAAAAAAACCAAAACTAAACAAGTCCGGCATGGTGGTGCCCACCTTTATTTAATCCCAACGCTCAGGAGGCAAAGACAAGAGGATTTCTGTGGGTTTCAGGCCAGCCTGGTCTACATATAGCAAGCTGCAGAACAGCCAGGGACATAGAGAGATCCAGTCTAAAAAAAAAATTTAAAAATGAGGTGCTGGAGATGGCTGAGCAGTTAAGAGCACTGGCTGCTCTTCCCCAAGGTCCTGAGTTCAATTTTCAGCACACACAGGTGGTTCACAACTGTCTATAATGTGATTTGATGCTCTCTTCTGGTGTGCAGACTCTCAAGTAGACAAAAAACAGCCATATTCATAAAATACGTAAAATTTTTAAAAAGTACTTTAGACAAAAAAAAATTAAAAAATAGATGGAACTTACTGGAAGTTAGGTCACTGGGAACACAGCTTCGGGGATATTGGGACCTAATAAGCCCCTCCTGTGTCTTTACTTCCTTCCCAATATTTTCCCAAAAGCCACAGCAGGGACACCAACAGGGACCTGTGTAGTGTTCACATTAGTGTTTTTCACAGTAGCCCGGGGTGGAGACAACCCAAACACCCACAGACCTGCTGAGCTGGTAGACTCCTCTCCGTCTCTCACCGCAGAGTCAAGTCCTGAAGAATAAACTCACATTCTCACTGACACATAAGTATTAAGCTTTGATAGACTCAATACCTTGAAAACATTACACCAAGTAAAAGCTGCCAAACACAGGAAATATACCATGGTTCTGTTTACAGATGTCAGAATAACAAATTCAGAGATGGGTTAGCACTGCATGAAAACAGGGGGCCACAGAGAGGGTGAAGGCAGATGACATCTGTGGCCTGAGTACCAAGATCCCAGTTGGGACAGTCAAGCATTAATTTTGCATGTTTATTTGTTTTGAGACAGGGTTTCTCTGTGCAACAGTCCTGGCTGTCCTGGAGCTGGTTCTGTAGATCGGGGGGCCTCAAGCCTGCCTCTGTCTCTCCAGTGGAAGCATTAGATTAGACAGCAGTGATGGCTATACAATACTGAGGATATGCTTCATGCCCCTGAACAATAAAATGGTTACAATTTGGGCTGGAGAGATGGCTCAGAGGTTAAGAGGACTGACTGCACTTCCTAGAGGTCCTGAGTTCAATTCCCAGCACCCACATGGTGGTTGACAACCATCTGTAATGAGATCTGGTGCCCTCTTCTGTATACATAATAAATAAATAAATTAAAAAAAAAGAAGAAAAATGGTTACAATTTGATATGCACATTTTAAAATTTTTTATTTTAGATTACAATGTAATTACATCCTTTTCCCCTTCCCTTTCCTCCCTCCCATACGTACATGTTTCTAAATACAGCCTGCTCAGTCTGTGCTTGTATGTGTATGTTTTCAGGGCCGGCCATTTCTTATTGGATAATTAATTAGTGTGCTCTTCCCTGAGGAAGACTTCCTCCTGCTTTCAGAATGCTTAAGTTGCCTGTAGTTCTTTGTGAAAGGTTGAGGCTTCGTGGGGTGTGTGTGTCGTCGTGTCCCCGGTCCGTCCGTCCCCCCGTCCTCCCGTCCCCCCCCCCCCCCCGTCCCCCGTACCCCCCCCCCCCCCCCCCCCCGTTGTTGTTAACTTTGTTCACGCTCTGCTTCCTTTACAGCAATGAAGAATGGCTAGAGGAACAGCAAGACGGTTCAGTGGGTAGAGGTGTCTGCTGCCAAGCTTGACAACCCAACTTTAATCCCCAAGACCTGAATGGAATGAGGAAAAGGACTCCAAAAGTTGTCTTCCAACCTCTACATACGCACAGTGGTACACACACAAATAAATACATGTAATTTTAAAAGAAAAATTCTTCAGGAAAAGAAACTACTGTCTGGGCAGTGTGTCACACACTTTTAATCCCTGCTCTCAGGAGGCAGAGTCAGGCAGATCTCTGTGAGTTGAAGCCAACCTGGTCTACAAAGCAAGTTTCAGGATGGCCAGGGCTACACAGAGAAACTCTGTCTCAAGAGGAAAAAAAGAAAAGAAAGAAAGAAAGAAGGAAGAGAGGAAGGGAGGGAGAGGGAGAGAGAGAGAGAGAAAGGGAATTACTAAAAAGCTACAAAACAAAGCATTTTGAATGGTCAAATTACAGAGATCACGGCTGCTTTCCTTTTATGCAGGTACAATTCACCGAGTAAGCATGTGTTTGTTATTATGAAAAGCAGCATATACAGTCTCCTTCCGCTGATAAATTGTTGCTCGGACAGAGTTCTTCTATCCTGATGACAGTGCAAAGCTCCCCAGTGTGAGCAGCCCTGGACCTCCCGGTGGTCAACACATTCTCAGCTGGTGCTGTCCCTACCCCAGTTGGTGTAGTGACTTCCTGATGGGAAAAAGACAAGCCCACCCTGGGCTTCAGCCCTGGCCATTTAACTTTGGTGAACACAAGTGGTGCAGCCTGGAAGCCTTCCTCCAAGTTTTTAGCTCTGAGCTGCTGACTTACACAGCACACGGCATTTACTGGGTTTGCCCATTCTACGGTGTTGAGAGTAGAACTTAGGACCTTATACATGCTAGGCAAGAGCTCTAACTAAGCCCAGCCTCAGCCATTATTGGTTATTTTCATATTCATCCCCATGAGAGAGGAAGGCTCTTCCATTTCAGAGTGCAATTCAAGGCTCAGTAACTCAATACCCTGCCCCAGGTTGAGGAGCTGAGGTCCAGCAGAACCCAGGTCTCCAGACTCCAGTCTGTGTTCCTCTGCCAACCCTCCTGTCTTCTGCTTTCATAGCAATGGGCTGCCTCAGTGATCTTGACATAGCATTCCTCCAAAAAGTGCCTCTTCATAGAAACTTCTAGCCACTCTCTGTTGGAGTGTCCTATTCAGTACAATGTTCCACTAAGGGCTTTTCCCTGAAGTTGGTTAATATCTTCTTTTTTTTTTTGTCCCAAGAAAACCTTGAACTTTTTCTCCAGTGCTGAAAGAAGAGGCACACACAACCATGCCTGGTTACATGCAGTTCTAGGGACTGAACCCAGGGTTTCACTTCCTGCATGCCAGACAAGCAGTCTACCAGCTGGGCTTCAGTCCCAGTCCCTGGTTATTAGATTCTGCCTCATCAATGTTCTTGGCCTTCCTGTCTAAACTCCAAGTGCACCCAAGGCTACAGGAGGCCGAGTTGCTGTTCTTTACTTAAGTGTGCTCAGCGATCCAAACACTTGTGAAAAACGTTCTCTGTCCAGGATTCGGCCATAGCGCAGGGTGAGGTAGAAGGTCTGCTTGCCACTGTATTGCTGGATGCGTATCAACACATCCCGGACCTGGTCCTTGGATTCTGACAGGGGTATTATGTCTGACACAGCACAGTAAGTGTCCTGTCGACACCCCCAGAAGGTCAGGTGGGCCACTCGAAGCATAGTACCTGACTCATTCACATACAGGATGCCCACCATCCTCCGGAAGAAGTAGCTCATCCAACACAGCATGGCCAGAGCAAAGCTGCAGATCCCACTCACAAGGCAGAGTGAATTGAGGGTCATGAGGCCCTGTGAGTACAAGTAGAAGCCTGGGGGCAGGGCGGCCACAGTCACAGCTGTCTGTGCCAACTTCAGGCGAGATAGAAAGCCAAGTGCTCTGATGGTATAGAATCGATAGATTGTGTGGAATTTCTCAGTCTCTGTGCCTGGTGGCTTCTCCTGTGAAGTGGGAGACCTCCTCCCCAGCCACCTTTTGGGATCTCCCTGCCCAGTGCAGCACCACAGTCGGTGAAAAGGCCTCCCCCATGCAGCTGGCCCCTGAAACTTTGGCACTGCATGAAGGAGGGCAGCCTGGAAAAGAAAGAGGTTTCTTTCAGAACTCAACCACGATAATCACACAATGAACAAGGCAAAGCATCCCCTAGAAAGGTTCCAATCAACCCTGGAAAGCCACCAGGACTGCCAGAGGAAGTGATAAAGCCAGATGCTTTATTTTTTTGTGAAACACTACTCTGGATAAGTACCATACTCCTGTTTTACAAACAAACAAACAAAAACCCTAGTCCCAGCCAGTGAGCTATCCCATCAAGTAAAGGTGCTTGCCACCAAACCAGGTGACGTGAATTTGATCCCTGGCGCCAACATGGTAGAAGAAGAAAAATTACTCGTGCCAAGACGTCCTTGACCCCTGCATGCCATGGCACAAGCATATGCACACGAACTGAACACACAAGTTGTTTGGTTTTTTTTCGGTTTTGTTTTTTGTTTTTTTTTTTTTAAACTAAGCCAAAAAAAAAAAAAATGCAAGGAAACTCAACAGAACGAACAGGGCAGAGTCTGACTCTCAGGCCAGTCCTTTACCCTAGGCAGGTCCAAATAAACACAGGAAAGGTTTAGTTACAGACCTTCAACAGAGATCTACTGACGAGCCAACAGTGGACTCGAACTTCGGTCCACAAGTCTGTGGGACACTTCCTCAAGAAGTAAACCAATCTGTGTCACAGTGGGAAAACCAGGCATCAAAACTGTGGGGTACTTATCACAGTACCTTTGCAGTTCTCCGACTGCCTTATACGTTAGGAGAACTGGCTGGGAAAGGGGACACAGCAGAAACGTGAGACACGGAAGCCCTCAGCACACTGCACAATGGTTCTCTGGAGTGAGCAGCATAGTGAGCAATGTTTGAGCTTTAGAGTCAGAGGAAGGCTATGATCCTGGCTCTTACAGACACTAGCTGTGCATCCTTCTTCACCTTTCCAAGGGAAGCCTCAGAATATGCTGAGCGAGACATGTTAGGCCCTGAAACTGACGCGGCGTGCTCTGGTTGCAGCAGCGACTCTGGCCGCCCACGTGACCCAAGGGGAACGGAGGAGGCTGGGAAATAACAGATCATTACACCCGGGCCTTCCACCGGTGGACCTCCCGAATCGGCCGCCCAGGCACCCTTCCTGCCAGTCCTAGGCCCGATCGGGGTCCCCTAAACGCGTACCCCCTTTCACCGCCCACTACTGCCCTTCCTACCATGATCCCGTCTCCTCCAATGAGAAGTAAACCGACTTCGTTCCGGAAACTTGAAGAGCGTATGAGCAAACTCAGAAAAAAAAAAAGAAAGAAAGAAAAGAAAAAGTGAGTTTCTGTGTTACATCTTAGGGGACTGTAGTTCAAACCCTGTGGATGCTGTGTGAGCCATTGGGGAATCCTCCCCTTCCCGTCGTGCCTTGGGCTACGGGGCTCCGAGCGGACCCGGAAGTTCCGGGTGGAGTTCCGGGTGCCAACGAGTCTTCTGACTGCAGACATGGCGGCGCTCTGCCTCTTCGATGTGGATGGGACCCTGACTGCCCCGCGGCAGGTAGGCGGCGCCCGGGAGGCTCGCGGCGGTGGAGCGGAGCCCGTGCAGCGCCCAGACCGTGGTGACGACCCCCCGGGGACCAGGAGACGAGGTTCCTGAGCGGGGTGCGCAGGAAGAGGGGGCCAAAAAAACCCCCTTCCGAGCAGGAAACGCGTTCAAAACCGGAAAGTTTGGGTCCGGATTTCTTTGGGGGCCTTGGGGACTAGTGACCTGGATTGTAACTCCAGCTTAGACCCCCCCCCCACCCGCTGTGTCACCTTTGGCTGTGTATCAAAGGCAGATTTTCAGCTGTCTGACCTTGAGCAACTCACTTTCTCGGAGCCCCCGAAGCCACTTTAAACGGGTGTATTGCCTGTTGCATGGGGTGCTGATGAGAATAACAGAAATTCGTGACAGTGCCGTGCCCAGATCAAGCCTCAAAGGTGAGCGGCTTCCACCAGCCTGCAGTGATGGGGTCCCCAGACTGTCTGCTGAGACCTTGCAGGACCCAATAGAACTTCCTTCCCCTCAAAAACCTTGTTGTTATGGTCAAAGATAAGTCTTTGTGGAGTCAGTCTGGTGATGGCAGCCTCTCTGCCTCCTTTGCACAGATTGGTGATTGAGCAGGAGTAATTCAAACTTGAGACTGGGCTCCAATAGCTTGAATGTCGCTATCTCTACCCCACCCATTTCGGATTTCGTGGGGGTGTATTCTAGAAGCCTGTTAAGTGTAATCTTAGATACATCTTTAAAACCACCCCCCCACCCCGTGGCGCACGCCTTTAATCCCAGCACTCAGGAGGCAGAGGCAGGCGGATCTCTGTGAGTTCGAGGCCAGCCTGGTCTACAGAGCGAGTTCCAGGACAGGCTCCAAAGCTACACAGAGAAACCCTGTCTCGAAAAATCAATAATAATCTTTTTTTATTTGGCAGTTACATGTGTACAGTGTATCTTGATCATATTCACCCCCAACTTCTCTGTGTTCCATATGGAGGACACCTGCCCACACATCCCTCTTCATTTCCATGTCTTTTTTTTATTTTAATAATTCATGAAGTCCACTTAGTGCTACACACACACACACACACACACACACACACACACACACACACACACACACACACACAGAGTCTCAGGCAACATTCCAGCAGCACCATCCACGATGGAAAGTTAATTGACTTGATCTTGTGCAGGTAATCACAGCTGCTGTGAATTCATGAGGGCAACAGCCATATATGTCCAGAAGACAGCATTTCCCAACATTCCTCCTCATCCTCTGGCTCTTACATTCTTCCTGCCCCCGAGCTTTGGCAGGATTGATAAGATGTCCCATTTAGGGCAATTACTCTTAGCATTCTGACCAGGTCTGCTTTAACCACTGCCCACTACAAAAGAAACTTCGTACCAAGGTTGAGAGCAGCATTAACCTATGGATGTGGACATAAATATTCAGAGGCAGTTTGACAAGAAGTTCATTTAGCAAAGCAGCAGTAGTAGAGATTCCCCCAGAGGGTCTATGAGCTCCTGAGCCACAGGCTTTTGACTAAGTTTATTGTACCAGGCATTAATTCCCTCCTGTGGAACAGGCCTCATGTCCAATCAGAAAGTGATTTGGTTACCCCCATAGCAATCATGCCGCCATTGCACAAGTGAGCACATGGCAGGTTGGTGCTGTAGCATGCAGGATCCATGGCTGGGAAGCGCCGTTAATGACTTTTCTCCCCCAGCAGTTTGAGTGGCACCTTCCGGCACTGTGAAAGCTCAGTATGTCAGTTCCAGCCTTACCCCTCTGGGGTCTTGCAACCAAGGTGTGCAATGTCTTCAGCAGTATGGGACTTACCATGTAGTTAGGGTGGCCAACCAAGAGCAATGGCAATAGCCTGTATTGTTTTGGGGTCTCAGGTCTCTCTGGTTAACAGTATCCCCCACCTGGCACTGAGATTTTTGTTTACTAACCCATGTCTTTTAGGGAAAGACATGTCCATACACATATACTTTACAACGTAATAGTTTTTGTAAAGTTTTTTGATATAGTCTTAGTTTTAGATAAACCACCACGCAACCCCTTCTACCTCATTCTACCTTTCTGAGCCACAGTTTGATCTGTCTAGTGATAACATTCTACCACAAGTTCTCCAGAGCCCTTTCTGACTCAGCTTCACTGCTCAATACACACTAATGAGTTAAGTCAATAGTAAGGTGGGCAGGTAGCACAGGATTGAATCCCTGCAGGAAGATTTGAGGGTTCAGATCCAGCCTGGGCTATGTAGTGAGTTTGAGGCAAACCTGGGGAACTTGTCTCGAAACAACAAAAGCCAATAGTAGTCTAGAACTGGAAGCAGAATTCTGTTTTGTAAAGGGCCACATATTAAGGGTTTTGTCTCTGTAGAACATATCCTGTAGAACTACTCAACGTTAGTACAAAAGCAGCCATAGACCATAGCAAACTGAGTAGCTGTGTTCTAATAAATGTATTACAGAGGCCACTGAGATGGCACATGGTTGGAGTCATTTAACCTAAGCCTTGGGACCTGAGTTCAATTCCTGGAACCCACATGATAGAAGGAGAGAACCAACTCCCACAGCTGTCTTCTAACCTGTCCTCGTACATTGTGGCACATGTACATGTATTTATATACAGACTAAAAATGAAGTTATTATAGAAACAAACTGTTGTTGAGTTTGGCCCAGGAGCCATAGTGGTCAGGAGTCTATATTCCTAAGCCTTTGTACAGTGCTGAACTTGCAGTATTTCACCATCTTTCATCCTGGGCAGGAGAGTTAGTACTGCCATTTTCTCCCCCGAGACAGGGTTTCTCTGTGTAGCCCTGGCTATCCTGGATCTCACTCTGTAGACCAGGCTGGCCTCGAACTCACAGAGATCCGCCTGGCTCTGCCTCCTGAGTGCTGGGATTAAAGTTGTGAACCACCACCGCCCAGTTACTACCATTCAAACATAAGGAAACTGAAACCAGTGAAACCCTGACCGCCTCAGCTTCTTACAGCAGCTGTGGTTAAAGTCCCTGGGCCTCAGGGCACTGTTAGTTGTCCAGTTCGTTTTTTCCTTTCAGTGTTCTAGGGTGGAGGGCACTCCAGGTACTAGATATGCTACTGGGAAAGTGCTTCTATTTCCTAGGTAAATGGGGAGAGATAAGCATGAAGTATAGAATAGCAAAGAAGCCAGGGGATCCAGAATGTATTCTCTTGTAGACATTTGGAACAATATGCTTGCAGTGATCATAAGCAATCGTAACAATAAAACTGTAATTTGAAAGAGAATTTTCCTATGTGCTGGGTACTGTGGTTAAAATATTTTAGTAGCAGATCTGTTTATCATCAGCCTTTCCTGCCTTTATCCATGTGTATTCTTAGACATCACTAATCATAGTGCAGTCTGGAAGAGGAAGAGCAGGTTGACTTTTATTGCAGTTGTTGTGACATAATGTGACCTGCATGGGTTCAGTCTCGTTAGCGTGGACTCCAGAAGTCTGCATGCACAGTTCCCTGTGTGTGTAGAAGTTTGTCTGCCTGGGTGCTTTCTTCCAAATGTCATTCCATCCCTAAACAGTAGGACTTGAGAAAAGCTTTTAAAAAGGGGGTGGGGCATAGGTCTCCATGAATCATTTTCCAACTCTAGCATCCTGAAAAATCTCACACACACAGATCATTGACAAAAATGGTGAACAGAGAACCCATATCTCTGTAGAGAACCCATATCCCTATCACTTATGTTAAAAGCAGCTGACATTTAATCATAATAACTTTGTATTTCCTCTTGCTTAGTAACTTTCTAAGCCACGGTCATCATGCTACTTCACCCCTTTGTATTTTTTGTCTGTCTATTAAAAGACAGTCTTAGGAAATCTAACTATGTAGCCAAAGCTGGCCTTGAATTCCTGATCCTCCTGCCTCCATTTCCCAAGTGTTGGTATTACAGGCTTGTGACACTATACCCACTACTGACATATTAAATCATATCATGTAATATAAAACACCTTTAAAGAACAAAAGATTGGGCTGGAGGGATGGTGCCGTGGTTAAGAGCACTGGCTGCTCTTCCAGAGGACCCAGCATCCACATAGCGACTCACAAGCACCTGTAACTCCACTTCCAGGTGATCTCTGCCCTCCTCAGGCACTGCAGGCATGTGGTGCACAGATAAACATTTGAACAGGCACTGCAGGCATGTGGTGCACAGATAAACATTTGAACAAAACAGACAAAAAAGAATAAGCTAAATCTATGTATTAGCATAAAAAGGGCACCACGACATAAAATAGAAAAAGCAAGTCATTGCACAGGACAGAGAACAACCAACCCCATAACCATACATATGTGAATAGACAAGTGTGAACAGATATAACTAAATATTAAGTTTTTCCTAGTAACAGCACTGGGCTTGTGTAAAAATAGGAGCTAAATTAGTTTGCAGTTTTCATCTGATTATTGTCACTCAAAATCATCCTATTTTCCTTCCTGACATGTAGAAAATTACAAAAGAAATGGATGGCTTCCTACAAACATTGAGACAGAAGACCAAAATTGGAGTGGTAGGTGGGTCGGATTTTGAGAAAGTGCAAGAGCAACTGGGAAATGATGGTAAGTGCTAATTACACTGTAGTGCAAGATGAAGTTCTCACGAGGATGCTGAGACCGCCGCCCAGTGTCCCCTGCACTCCCAAGCCACCATCACTCATGTGGCACACTTTCTGCCCTCTCTGGGGAGACATTGTCTCTGCCCTTGTTTGGCCTCTGCTTCAGTTCTAGAAAAGTGAGTTCTGTGACCTTTGACAGAACACTTTACTCAAGTGTACCGATAGACTCACCTTGAAGGTTGTGCATGTCTGTGTCTTCACTTC